GTCCGATAGTGTTTCAATTTTCATTTTTTTTTCTATAAATTAGAATAATCTAAAATTTGGAGTGTGTGTTCATAAAAAATAGGATAATCTAATAAAAATACAAAAATAATTTGTAAAATATGAATCGACCAAAATACCCCTAAAAATTTATAGAGGTATTTGGTTAATTTATATTTTAATAAATATTTTTTTCATATTTTTATTAGGTTAACCTCACTATAATGTACATACACTTCAAATTTCAGATCATTGTGATTTATAGAAAAAAATGAAAAATAAAATACTACCGGACAATCGTGACTATGCGATGAACTTTGGACGGTGATGAGTATAAGCGAAATCATATTCATTTTCACCTATAAACGTTGGGAAAAATTTTCCTATATATATATGGGAAAAGATGGGATTAGTCAACTAGCTTATATGAATATATGAGCCCAACGGCTCATATTCAATATGGGCCGATCTGACGATCATGACGTTTGAATTTTAACTTTTACTATATATATATATATAAATGTCCTGTAGTGTTTGAATTTAATTTTTTTTTTAAAAAAACCCAAATCACTTGAAATTTTTAGATGTGTATTCTTCTCATCAAGGGGCATCTAATAAAAATATATAAAAAAATTATCCGTAAAATAAAATAACCAAAATACCCCTCAAAACTTTTCGAGGGTATTTGGTCAATTTATTTCACGTAAAATATTTGTTTGATATTTTTCAAATATTCATCTATTTTGATAAATAGGTGTCTAAAATTTCAAATGATTTGGATTTATAGAAAAAAAACTAAAATTCAAACACTACCAAACATTTGTGATCGTCAGATCGGCCCAGAATCAATCTAAAACGTTGAACTAATCCCATCTTTTCTCAATAAATATATATATATACCCTACATGAAAGTATTTTTAATGGACCATAATACTCTCACGCAAAGAGGGAAAACGCCAATGGGATATGCTTTTGTATCACCATACCAACAAATGCTATAAGGAGTGCAAATATTTGATAGAAGGGGTTTCAATTAACGCCATCAGTATATAGGATGCTTTATTTACACATTGTGGTTTCAGAAGGGTGGTCATCTTAAGCTTTTTTTTTAATCTGTCTCAAGCTTGGGTAAAAGAGATGAGTTGTGTTAGGCAAATAGCCTACGTAAAACTTTGCCATAAGCTTTCACTAATAAAGTTTTAACCTTCATTTATTAGTAGCACATTGTATTGTCATACAAAATTTTTATTATGAGTACATCAACAGTAGGAATTGAGCTTAAGATGTAGTTTGAGCTTAAGATGTAGTATTCTAATCGCGAACAACTAATAAAGTCCAAAGATGATTAGTAAAATTCTTATTTATATATTTTTAGAATTAATATGGTTAGCCACTACACATGGATAAGCACATTTCACACCCAGATGTCTCTTAATTCTTGTTATGTTTTTAAATTTATTATGCAATCAAAATAGAACCAATGATGTTTTATTTTTACTTTGACCATTTACTTGCGTTCTCTTTTTCTTGGATCTATTTTCTTGCAAAGTAAAAGCCTATATTTTCAAAAAAAAGTGTTTTATGTGGGCTAACATGTGTGTATGCCTGTACAAACCAATTTACAAAGCAATTTAGTTGGACGATAAAGATTACACCATATCTTGAATTATAGGTGTAATGTATACCATAAATAAAAGGAAGGAAATGTTGGTCCCGTGCAGGTTGGCCCACATAAAAATAGAATCTATTTATAAATATTGAAAAATTGTTCTATACATTGGGGGAGGCATTTCTACATTTACATCCCCTATAGTGTAAAGCATCCACCTTCAAGATGGATTCAAATTAGTGGTTCATTTAAAAACAGTTGAAACTAATAGTTCAAATGTTTTTTTAATAAAAATATTAATTTTTAAAATTTATTTATTTTTTATATTCATGTCTCCATGTTCGAGATGTCCTTAAAAATTATGTCAAAAAATCTATCTTAAAAATAGATTTTTAAGAGGGGATTCATTTCTACAACCACTTATAGAAACCGTGTCCAAAAATATTTAACAAGGTTGCCAAAGTCTTTTTATTTTATTTTTTCTTTCTTTCCATTATATACATTTATGCTATGATCCAAATATGACTGCATAGAATGTGAAATTACAAAGTCATCACCGTCCATAAATAATTCAATCGTTCATCAAGAAAGATTGGAACCCTCCAAACCTTACATTTATTTAGTAATACCCTAGTTGCTCTCATCACCGTCCACTACATTGTGGACCATAGAAACCGTTTGGACCATTACAATCCTTTTGAGCCATCATAACGCTTGATGGTCCATCTGGTTCTAAACCCCAAAACCTGCCATTGCAATGCCAAGCAAACCAAAGCTCTATGAAACTCCGGTTGCTCTCTCTCTCTCTTAAAATCACAGTCTCTCTCTCTAAACATTACAGTCGCCAATCTCTCTCTAGACAATGGAAGATGGCAATGCTTCGGCCCAACACCATCTCCTTATTCAGCAACAGCAACAGCAACAGCAGCAACTCTTACTCCTTCATCAACAACAACAACAGCAGCACCAACAGCAAGCCATTTCTCGATTTCCATCGAATATAGACCCTCATTTGAGGGCACCGGCGAGCCTAAATCGAGCCCAGATTCAAGCCCAGGCTCAAGCTCAGAAGCCAAGTGGGCTCAGGCCCAACATCCAGCTTGAGCTCGAGATGGCCCACCAAGACGCATGGCGCGTTTGTCATCCTGATATAAAGCGCCCCTTTTCCTCCCTTGAAGACGCTTGTGAAAGGTTTGGGTCTCTCTCTAGGTTTTGGGTTTTCTCTCACTAGGATTTGGTTTGTCTGTTTTTCTTTTGTTCTTTTGATTTAGTTTAATTTTGGTGGTGGTTTTGGGCTTTATGATTGGGGATTTGGTTTGTCTTTGGCTTTGATTTCTGTGTTTCTCGGTCTAGGGCTTTGGATTTCTGTAATTTTTTGCCATTTTCTGCCGCTTAAGGTTTGAGCTTTTAGTTTGAGAAGATCCTTTTCCCTAGGCATTAGGGTTTATTTTTTGCTGATTTTTTCCACCGAGTAGGTTTGAGTTTTCATTTATTAGTGACCATGAATCTATTATACTTTTTGACTGTTACTGTTACAATACATTAGCAAACAAGATCTTGGTGCGACATTTGTCAATGTTCGTGATGTATAATTTTATGCATGTCATAATTTTAGGGTAAATTTTTATGGGAAAATTTCTGGTCTATACTAGTCCTGCGGGTTTCATCAATGAATAAACCATCATTTAGAATATCACTACTTTCTTTTCCAAGGACTGATATATAGAAGCAGTGTTGTGATTTTCTTCTGCAAGTACTGATATATAGAAGCAGTGGACGAGTTCGCCTAGTGACTCGGGTTTGGCAGGCTGCCAAGCCAAGAATAAGACACATGGAAACCCCTTGAGTTGGGCTGCTTCCCTATATTTTATTTATTTATTTTGATTGGGCTCTGACAGCCTGTCCGACCTGACAGTCTGTCTGACCTAGGAAGTGTACACAAAATCTATTCGGCCAAGGTACTTGGCCCTTGGCCAAGCCGAGTTACTCGGGCGTATATAGCCCAAGTCCCGCCCTAGTTTAAAAAAATAAAAATAAAGGCAAAAAATTAGTATATAGAATATAGCCTTCACTTTGGTTACAGAAAATGTGAAATGACTCGCTGTTGCTCACGTTGATTGCACAAAATTTGCCTACCAACGGCATTTCAATGCATGAATTGCACTATGTTAGAGTTATGTGGTTTGCTTGTGCTATCTGTCAGGCTCTACATGTGCACAATTTCATGAAATTGAGGTCTCATTTTACAGCCATTCTCTACATATTATATTCCTGAATGCCGTTCCTGGTTTTGCAAGGTAATCTTTATGGCTGCTATCCTTATTTCCATTTTAAACATGAGGGACTCTCCTTTAAAAATGTCTATCCTAGAGCAATTGACATCTTCTTTACCACTTTACGTCGATTTCTGGCTTCTTCGTCTATTTTCTGAGGATTTGAAATGAGGTTAAATGTGATAGTAGATCTATGGTAGGTATATAGGGAAAATAATGGTCATTACCTTCTTGGTAAGGCCAGGTGGGCATAAGAGAAGTGCGTAGATTGTGTGGGTCTCTAGGGTTTGAAGGAGCTTTAATAACATGGAGCCTGATTGTGTGGGACCAGAGTGTAGAAGAGGTGAATATGGGGAGATTGGAGAATTGTTTGATCTGACTTGTGTTGTGGGTTGATGCGTTGTAGAGGGACTTCACCTTTGGCATGTTCTCTGAAGCTTTTTGTTGGTGTTTGCTTTAGTAGAGGCAAGGTAGAGTTGTGGGGGATTTAACAAATGAGGAGGTAATCTAGTTATGTAGATTAGTGGGGGTAGCTATGTTAAATTGAAACGCTTGTCTGACCCAATTTGTAGTGCCACATGTGAACATGGTACCCGACATGTGTATTGACATGCTTGAGATGGCATATGACATGAGTTATATATTTTGGAACTGTTTCATTATTTTTCTAATGATCTTATGCTCCGATACTAGGTGCTTAGGGTGTGTGTCTTGTTTGCAGGACACAAGTGTTTGTGTTGTAAGACATGTGTCTCGGTTTATAGACATACGCGTCTCAGCTGTAAACACACATTTCTAAGATGTGAAACATGCATGTTTTAATCATGGGACATGCATTTCATAGTTGTAAGATATTTGTGTTTCATTTATAGGAAACTGATCTTAGGTTTTATTTGTATAAAAAGTATATATAAGGTGTCAACCTTATATTATAGCAGTAAGGTACACCTCAAAAACCCACCTGTTAGAGTTGCTTTGGTCCTACAACACCACCCTTCAATTTATCATCTCCACCTCGAGATGTCATCATCATCGTCCTCATCCAAGCCTTATCCCAATGATTTGGAGTTGGCTACATGAATCTTGTTCATCCATTCTTCTCTATCAAGAGCCATACCCTCAGTAAGAACAAAAAGTCACATAGGTTTAGGATTTTCATGATAGGATGTGGCAAGGTTTTATGCTGGCTACCTACCTAACACAACCCACCTCTTTTAGTCAGGCTTGGGACAGGTTACGGGAAAGTTTAAGGTCCTCACCCTTATTAGACCATCATCATCTCCACCTCTAGATGTATGGATATGAAGAATAAAAGGATTTTAAGTCATGAAAATAGGCATCTCATAACATGTTATCTGAACTGTCAATTTTCAAGATTTTCAAGTGCTTATAGATATGCTCCATCAACACTATTTTTGGAGATTTTTTTATCAATTTTTTTCTTTTTTTAAAAAAACACTATTTTTGGAGCTTTAAATTTTATAATTAGGGATAAAAATAGATTTTGAGGCCATCGCATGGCTTTTTGGTAGTTGTACTCCATCTTTCGGTACGGTTTAGAAGTGCGCCCTACATTGATTGTTTAAGGTCGACGCCTTATGGAAACCACACCCTTTTTAAAATAATGTTAGTAGGACTACATTTTACTTCTTTCATATTGTCACTAATTGGTAAGGATCAGTTACCAATAACAATCAAGTGCTAAACTTTTATATACTAATGAGTTGATAAATGAGAAAAAGAAATTTGCACTGGAGTGCCGCCCATAAGATGTGCATGTGGCTGTTTAATGCATGCATGTTGATAGATATCTTATTTTTAGTGGACATGTCTTATGCCAAATCCGGAAGTGACTTCTCTGTGCGAAGCAGACGGTACAATTGTTTCAATGTCAGCATGCCTACTTTTAGAAGTCATTTCTGACACCTTATATCTGTGTTGAAACTTGAACCAATGTGTCTATTTCCCAAGGCTTCAAAAAACGCTAGGCGGTTTGCCTGGCGCCTAGGCGGGCGCCCAGAACCTCAGGCGCCCTGTGGTTTAAATTCTCAAAAATAAGTTTAGAGATTGAGGGTTTTTTTTTCACTTTGGGGTTTCAAAAATAAACCCCATAACATTTTTATACAAACTTGGGGTCAAAATGACCCCCTTTGCCCTTTTGGGTGAATTTAAAAATCGAAAAATGCCTTACGGCCCTGGGTGCCCTCCTAGGTACAAACGCCCGTGTAGGGCCACCTGGATTGATGCGTGCGGTTTTTTTGTTCAAGCTGCGAGTGCCGGGCGGACCGTTTTTTGAAACCTTGCTATTTCCTTGAAACTTAGCTGGGGAGGCCTGAGGTGATGTCCATGGCAAAGTTGAGGTGAATGTGAAGGTGAGGGAGACTACTCATCACCTCTAACTCCACCCATCATTTGTAAGGCAAATGTAGGGTTTTGTTTTGGAGGATGCCAGCATAGGCAGTAGTCCTTTAGAGTTGTTGGTTGCATGTGTTGTTTCTCTTAAGAGGGCATTTCTCTCTTGATTATCAAAATTTAATGTACACCTATTGGGGAATATGGAAACATATGGATAGCAGATCTTCATAGGTATCTAAACATGTCATTAGATTGTTAGAGAATGACTAGTGATAGTGATTTCATGGGTGCTTGCCAATTAGTACTTCTGTGGAATATGTGTGGAGCAATTGGTGTGCATTTTGATCATGGTGGCCCTGAAGGAAAGTAAATCTTCATAGAGTATCTAGATGAATAGTAGATGATCAGAGACTGAATGATAGTCTTTAAAATAAATCAGGTGGAATGCAAACAAATGAAGCAAAGGGCCTCAAGAAAGGATTGGAGACCAGGCTTATGGCTGAGGGATTTAAGCAATAGGTAATTGATGATAAGGTGAGTGTTTTTCAGCTAGTCACATCACAGTTATTGGGATCTCTCGAGATAGGTGTTGGTAGTTCTCTGTGATCTCCCTTCAACACTCCGGGATAGGGGTCTCCATGGGATCGAGATTTTTAAATTTGGGTTCTCGATCACCACTTGGCTCCTAGCCACTAAAAGGGGGAACAAGAGGCCAAAAAGATTGATTTGGATCTTAATCCTGATTATACTCTCTCTCTCTCTCTCTGATGCTTTTGGAGATTGCTAAGTATAAAATTGTAAATAAAGCAGCTAGATATGCTTTTGGAGGTTTGGAATCAGCAAGATGGTAGAGGCTAGGTTTTCATAGCATAATGTCTCAAATTCCATTCCTATGTAACCATGCAAAAAAAAAAAAGAAAAGAAAAAAAGATATGCTTTTGGAGGTTGTAAACTGTGGAATTTAAAGATTCTATCAATAAAAAATTAGCTCCATTGTATTGTACCAGCTATCCAATCTGCCTCATCATGATAACCTTTTAGTGTATTTATTGGTACATGAACTACACCTCAAAGGAATGTAAAATATTATTTATTAGTTAAATAAAATTTAATTCAATAGCAATTAATTTTTTGTTGCCTTTTTTTTGTGCCCGATTTTTACTATATTTTGGGGGATTATTTTTTCAAGTTCTTAGAAAATTTCTTATTTTTAGAAATTAATTTATTAATCAAATAATTATATGGATTGCTCCTAATCTAGGGAGCTTCTAGCATGTGACAATCCCTTCCCCTCACTGCGGCACCTGCTTCCTCTTTCAACAACCATGAGTCACTTACATCATGGATTTTATATAATTGGATATGTGCATCTTCACCGGCACTTTACACAGATTACATAGATTGATCCCTGTAATTGATCTATCTGTCTCTGTGAGCTTTCTGGGCCTGTATGATGTAGCAGCCTAACCAGAGGCCATTTAGGGTAAAAAATAGGGTCACGTTCTGCACTAAATTGTTCAACAAGTGGTGACACACATACATATGTATGGCCGGTTTCAAGAGAAGAGAAAGTCATTCAGAAGATATGTCAAGAGTTGGGACATCAAAACCAGCTTCCTCGTGGATGGCATTTTATTACTATGTGGAGAAATGGAGATTGCAATATAAATAGTGACTACAGTACGTCGTATGAAAACCATGGTGGAGCCGATATACATCTCAACTCTTCTGGTAACTGTCATTTTTTAAGGATCCACCTGTCACAGCATGGTTGTGTTGTAGGTCTTTTCATCTTTAAAGGCCTTTCTTCATTCTCCTTTTTTCTTTTGCTTTATTTCTCTTATAGGTCTCTCATTCTATATTGTATGGGGTGGCCATGGACCAGGCGGCCCGGCCCCAAAAAACTAGGGCTTGGGCCACGTTTAGAGCAGGCCTGGGCCAGGGCAGTAAGAGGGTCGGTCCAGGGCTTGCCCGGACCACCCTGTCAGGCCCTACTTTTCTCCCTTATCTTTTTCTTTTCCTTCTTAAGGTCTATGAGGTCCGGCCAGGACAGGGCTGGGCTTGGGCCATGGCCTCTTTAGCCAGGTCCTTTCAGGGCTGGCCCTAAAGCTACTAGGGCTAGGGTTGGCTTGGCCCGGGCCTGGCCCATGGCCAGCCCTACTATATTCTTCTTGCGAAATCACCCTCCATTAACAATCTCATTATCGATTAATAAGAAATCAGTACATATTTATAATATTGTGCATCCCCCCTCTGTTGTGATTGAGGACTACAATTGCCGTTATCTATCTACCTATCTATATATATGTAGATAGATAGATAGATAGCATTGTTGTGTGGTAGGTCGCTAGCCTTGTCATGCCCTAGAGCCATTAGGGAACATTCCCTTACCCCAACAATCCTCTTTCCATGGAATATCCATTGTTTCTCCTCATATCATTCCTTCTGCCCCTTTTTCTTGAGTTGCTGTTCTCCTTGTGGGTGTACAGAGTAACTCCTTCACCACTCCATTACCCTCCTGTCAACCATTTAGTACAATAAAATAATTTGTATGACATTCATTCTTTTTAGGCATCTTACTGAGCAACAATCTTGTGGTTTTGGCTGAATATGGCTTTGTTATAGTTCACTCTGCAATCAAGGGTGGTTTTGCTAAAGAACAAGAAAACCAACAAGAGCCCCTGCTTTATTTTACTAAATCATGGTGTCAATGAGCAGCATGAAGCCATAGATTTGGAATTCATCGATCCAAGTGTTTCAAACTATTGATAATTGGATGCAATTCAGACTAAGATGATCGGGACTTATTTAGTAGCTGTATTTGTGAGCATATATTGGCTCCTGTTGCTAGAACGGCAAATCAACAATTGTGCCATTTCCTTTCAGAATAAAAGGACTTTGAAATATGGTTACAAGGAAAAACTATTTGACTTTTGCTAGTCCTAACTTGATGGCTATTAGTCTAGTACATTTATTTCTCACAAACACAAACATTTATGAACCTACTTGGATTGCGCCAATTATTATTTTTGCTTTGCCTGATGATTATTTCTAGACATTTTCTTCTCATGTGGCAAAATATGTAAATGCATATTTTCTTAGTTTGATGTGTAAAATATCGAAATGAAATATGAAATGGTTTGACTGTTGAGTATATTTTTTCAAGGACTGAATTGGTATTGATGAGCCTGATGTCAAATCTTAGATCTATCATGTTCAGATATCTGAGACAATCAGCATTTTTAGACTCTTATAGGCTTATGACAACATCATAAAACACACTTTTGGTGAATTTTGATGATCAATGAATATATAT